GAGTTGCCAAGAAACCTTAAGGATTTAGAGAGAATCTTTAAAGAGGAGTGGAACAAAATCCCTCCTGAGATGTGTGCAAACCTGGTGACCAACTACAAGACACGTCTTACCTCTGTGCTTGCCAACAAGAGTTTCTCCACCAAGTTTTGCTTGGGGATCAAATACTTATTTGACTCACTGAAATGCAAATCAATGAGTAACCTTTGAACAGTGTTTTTTTCTGGATTTTTTGCTTGATATTCTCTCTATCCAGATTAAAATAAATCTACCATAAAATTATAGACCCTTCATTTCTTTGTAAGTGGGCAAACTTACAAAATCAGTAAGGGATCAAATAATTATTTTCCCCACTGTACACTGTTAGAAATCCTAAACCTACACCTCAACCTATTACAAATGAACTTTTAAAACATACACCGCAAAACAATCCTCCATTCAGCTGGAGGATAAAAGGACGAGGACGGTCTCACTGCCTCCATTTATCCTTGTCTTTCCCACAACAATTGATGTCATTTTGTCTGCAGTGTACTCTTCCCGTGACCTTTAGCGTCTCGTGTTTTCTTCTCAAACTCTGCAAAAAGACCCTAGACATCAGTTTTTGTTATTTTACAGAGACCCCATCCATAACACTTTTTGGTTTTCAGCATGAATAAAGGAGATCTAGAAATCAATGTGTAAAGGTATTGCAGGGGGTGTTTTTCTTTTCTTTTCATCTTTTCATGTCTCTGCCTCCTCTGACCTTTTTTGTCTTCCACAAAAACTTGTTTCTGATTTAAGCGGTTAATGCAATTCCTGGGAAATATGGTGTCAAGGTTAATAGATGGGTTTTTTCGTCTGTTTCCATTGAGAGAATGACCCTTCACCTCATCTATTAAAGATACAGTGAACATCAAAGACGGTTCCTCACAGTCATTTAGGAGAGTCTGCACTGCAGAGCGATCAATTGTGCTCGAACAGGAGTCTTTACGTAACACTACAGAGACGAGGAGAATACTTGACAGCCTGTTTCTCCTCTGAGAGATTTACTCGACTGCAAAAACAGCACAGCATTTGCATCTCTTCTGTTTAGCAGGTGCTTTTATGCAAAACGTCTTTCAAACTAGAATAATACAAGCAGAAGGGATTCACCCAAGGAAGAAAACAGTGCAAGCAGTTGTCACATAACATCATTATTTTGCATATTTAATTTTGATTTGTATTCCAGTGTCAAAGTCTTGGCAGTTGGAGTATAATGAATAGCATACTATCTTTTTATATTATATTATATATTATAGTTTTATTTTAGTTTTAGTTAATTTAGTACATCATATATATATATATACATATATATATATAAGGTACATTAGTACACACACACACATATATATATATATATTATAATAAATTTACATTATATTATTTATTGCAGTTTATGTTCATTCATCACATTGGATGTGTATGCTCTGTTGCATACTGCCAAAATAAAATGAGTAGTGCATTTTTGATACGAGTCTGTGCTGTTTTTACCCATTTTTTTATAGTTATTAATATTTCAGGAGTACTTTTGAGGACATTTATTGAGCTATTCTCTTGCATGAAATAACGACATCTCATTTGTCCCTTCTCAACACTCGACAGACATTTTAATTGATGTACTGATCCGTGAGAGCTTGAGGAGTCACTTTGTCTTGAAGATTTCATGTTAAATCATTGTTCTGTAGCTCAGGATGCCATTGATCAAACATGCTTAGATAGTTAATTCAATATGTCAATATCTCAATAACTCATCTAATAGCATGGATAACTCATTTTATTTAGTCATGTTCTTGTTTAAGTACTATATGGTTTTATTATTACAAACGATAAAGCCTTGCAAATGAGGTCCTGTTAGCATGCATGACAATATTTGAGCATATAAATATTAAAAGGCACTTTCACCTTGTACGTCTTGTAATATAAAATGTCCCATGAGAGCTGTGCAAAAAGCTCTTGATAATGCATCATAATGCCCAGTACATATTTAACACACAAAAAATTGTCCACGGCACTCAAACTGGGAAAATATCACACTGAGTCTTTATAAGGTGTTGCTATAGTTCATAAACGCTCTCAGTGTGAGATTTCTCCATGCAGTATTAAAGACTTTTATGTGTCAGTATGTTTGTGTTTTATCTTTGTAAGCCGTGACGTAATAAAGGCTTTTTCATTTTTAAATTCTATTTTGAGTGTCTTGGACTACTGTGCTTGTATTGATCTGTTATTGCTAACTAAAACTTATTAAACATCATAAAACCATCAATCATTAATTGAAATGAAGCTAAAATATAAATATTAAAAAAATTAAACAAAAATGGTGCCTAGGCAACTAACTGAAAACTAGTTGCATTACTAAAATGCCTAAAACTGAAATAAAAAGCTAAATAGAATTATTAAAAAACAAATAAATAAAAGACACAAACCTTAATTATTAAAACTTAAATCAAAATTCAAATAATTACAAATTGTCACATTCACTACTGTGAGGGAGCGCAGAGCGAGGAACGAGTAGACGTGGAGTACATCAACAAGGAGACTTTATTCATCTACCACGAGAACCAGGAACACACACGTAGCAGGAGAGTTTGACATATACAGACATTCACAATTCTAGACAAGGGAGAACAGAACGGGCTAGAACTCAAATAGGGCAGATAACGAGGGGCAGACAGGTGAGGAGGATAACTAATAACAAGGAACACCTGGAACTAATAGAACTAAATGGGGACAGGAACAGGAAGGACCAAATAAGGGCAAGGAAGGCACATGGGGAGCAAAACACACACAAAACAAGGAACAGTCTAACATTACTCCCCCCTCCCAGAAGACGCATCCTCACGCCTCACAACATCCAATGGGGAGGGGTGGGCACTGGACAGACAGACACGGAACAGCAGGCCTCCAGAGCGGTACCCGTTCGGGGCGCCATAGCGGATCACACAGTTTGGGGCGCCATGGCGGATCAGAAAGTTCAGGAGGCCATGGTGGAGCAGACAGTACAGGAGGCCATGGCGGAGTAGGGAACTCAGGAGGCCATGACTGGATGGCCTCCGTGGCCTTGGCCTCGCCACTCAGCCCGGCCACTATGGACGGACCCATACTATTCTATCAAACATACAACATACTATCACAATTCCGGACAAGGGAGAACAGAATGGGCTAGAACTCAAATAGGGCAGATAACGAGGGGCAGACAGGTGAGGAGGATAACTAATAACAAGGAACACCTGGAACTAATAGAACTAAATGGGGACAGGAACATGAAGGACCAAATAAGGGCAAGGAAGGCACATGGGGAGCAAAACACACACAAAACAAGGAACAGAGTCTGACACAAATATTATATAAATACTAAAATAGAATATAAAAACTTAAAAATTACAAATTTAGCCTTGGCAACCAACTGAAAAAAAAAAAAAAATTAAGTACTAAAATTACTAAAACTAAAAAATGCCAAAAAGCACAACACTAATTATTAAAACATAAAATTAAAATTAAAAACTGAAAATATAAAATAAAAGCAAATTCTAAAAAAAATTAATAATGTAATGATTTATAAATAATAATAAAATAAAGCTGTTCTTAAATTGAAAATCCCTTATCACTAGGAGGTATTAACATATTTGTTTGACCCCATCCTTGCATGCTATTTTTATAGTTATACGTCCTTCAGTATTTTCAATGCATCCTTGTAGATTTGTATTTACCAGTGAGTTTTGAACAGGCAAACAGCAGAAAACTCTTCATAAAAATTTCTATTTTTTTCTGTTCTGTGTTTCTCAGGAACTGGGCCCAGTCCTCAGGAGGGTCCGAGTCAACCAAGCGCCCCGTCGGGACCGCAGGGTTTCCGCAAGCATTTCCTAAGGGGAAAATTAGACTGTGACAACCAGCCTCCCGACCCGGACCGCCTGTTCCAGCGTTGTTGTGCTTTATTTTCAGGTACAGTATTTAGCAGTAACATTCAAGCAGGGGCGGACTTACCCATTAGGCAAAGGTAGGCGACCGCCTTGGGCCCCCAAAAGCCAAAGGCCCCCTAAAAGGCTTTTCATATATGCGCATTAAGCGCAGACACATGAACGTATGCAGTTTACTGTGTTTATTACCACGACAGCCGTCCGAGTCTGTGGCGCCTGCAGGTGTACGGCTGCACTGTGAGTACCACGAGTGCTCAGACTGATCTGAGATTTTCCCCGCAAACATTTCAGCAGTTATTATAGGCCTGTGTGTCCCGTATTTCTGTCGACTGAACCCATGCCGTTAATTATGAATTTATCAGTGTTTTGCATGCCAAAGTCAATTTCAGCATAGAAATATTACGCCAAATAGAAGCAGAAAGTCGTGCTACACGCACTTTCATGAGATTGGGTTAGCCTACAACAATTCATTTTTTGGCTATTTTACAAATGGGAATACAACGAATTCATGACAATGTTTACAATTATAGTGCTGAAAAAATGACTCGCCATCTCCTAATTGGAATGCACGGATTACACAATGAAAGAGTTTGTTTTATTAGGAGTCTATTTTCGATTTGAATTATTTCGTTTTAAAGTAGTAATTTAAAGCTTTCTATATATTTTGATCATGTCTGAGTATAGGTTCATCATTGTGAAGCGCTCCTGTTCAAGCCCGAGATGGCAGAAAATGTTTGTTTTCTTTATTTTATAAAAGCACAACGTTTTGTTGATATTGTGAGTGCACACAAATAAAACTAGACCCTTTACAGTTTAGAATGATGTATTACTCTTATAGGACAAAGTTTTACATATATGCCATTATAATTAGTGTTTTATTTTTGAACTGTACGGAATTATAAAATAAAACAAAAATTATAATCAGGCCTTCCATCAATTATAGTGCTGAAAAAATGACTCGCCATCTCCTAATTGGATGTGCCTTTAGAGAGAAATGCACGGATTACACAATGAAAGAGTTTGTTTTATTAGGAGTCTATTTTCGATTTGAATTATTTCGTTTTAAAGTAGTAATTTAAAGCTTTCTATATATTTTGATCATGTCTGAGTTTAGGTTCATCATTGTGAAGAGCTCCTGTTCAAGACCGAGACGGCAGAAAGCCTTTGTTTTCTTTATTTTATAAAAGCAAATATTTGTTGATATTGTGAGTGCACACAAATAAAACTAGACCCTTTACAGTTTAGAATGATGTATTACTCTTACCTTTATTAGCAAAAATGACTGCGTATTTTAAGTTGTTTCCACTCTTAGAAAAAAAAGCAAGTGATGGCATTGGCCCTCCATGTGCTGCCGAGCGCACTTCAGCTTGGAACTATTTCAACTACTTTCAAACGGAACTATTTTAATAGCTGAAACAGTAGTATACGCTTTTTTTTGGGAAAAGGGGAAAAAAGACGGGCTAGATTTGAGACCCCTGCAGGGCTTTAATCCACTTCAGCCAACGCGGTTTTGTTCTCATCTGTGAGCATGCTATTGATATGTATTTTAGGTGTGTAAATGTATAATTGCCTTTTCATTATTTTTTTCAGTTTTATTTACATTTGTATTTAAAACTAAAAATAAATGTATTTTAAAGTTTAGAATTAGACAGCCTTTGCACACAGGCTTACGCTGAAAACAACTAAATGGAACCTCAAGGTTGATCTAGGAAAATGTGAGCAAATGTATAGGGCCCCATTCCTATATTTTGCCTGGGGCCCCCAATTCACTAAATCAGCCCCAGCACACACACATATATAATCCTGGCTTAACCTAAGCCCTGTCTGTGAAACCAGGCTTAAAACGAAAATGGAAAATATAAAAATCAAAACATTAATATATATATTCACTGAACAAAATTATAAACGCAACACTTGTTTTTGCCCACATTTTTCATGAGCTCAACTCAAAGATCTAAGACTTTTTCTATGTACACAAAAGGCATATTTCTCTCAAACATTGTTCACAAATCTGTGTTAGGGAGCACTTCTCCTTTGCCGAGATAATCCATCCACCTCACAGGTGTGGCATATCAAGATGCTGGACAACATGACAATTGCACAGGTGTGCCTTAGGCTGGCCACAATAAAAGGCCACTCTAAAATGTGTAGTTTTATCACACAGCACAATGCCACAGATGTCACAAGTTTTGAGGGAGCGTGCAATTGGCATGCTGACTGCAGGAATGTCCACCAGAGCTGTTGACCATAAATTGAATGTTCATTTCTCTACCATAAGCCGTCTCCAAAGGCGTGAAATGTCAGGGATCTGGAAGGAGGACCCAATTGCAGTGAGTGTAACAAGGGTTTATTGACAAAACAGATCAATACAAAAGGGTTGTGAGGTGCACAGGTGATACCACAACAGAGCACAATTACACTAACAAGGACTCAATGAGGGCTAACAAGAGGGTGTGGTAAAGAGGAAACCAGGAGGAGGGGCTAAAGCACATGGCTGAGAAAAACAAACAACTAGGCCATGTGCTGACAAGACAACAGACACAAGAAACAAAACACAAGACAACCAGAGTGTCAGGGAAAAACCCTGACAGTGAAAGGAGTGAAATTATTTCCTTATGAAAAAAAATTATTTGTGAAGCCAAACACTCAGGAACTCTCACAATGCAAATGCCATGCCACAAAACGATGAAACTTATCTGGAGAAGAAATCTTCAAAGAGAGCAAACAACACCTCTCTCCTCGCCCATTTACGACCCCCTTCTCCCCCTGCCCACTCTGCATCTCCCTCTTTTCCCCCCAAAGGTTTCACTCAAAGTTCATTAAGAATATGCATATCCCACATATCATGTATCTTGTGAACCTGTTGTTTTTCCCCTTCATGTTTGGTGTCATTT